TGTGTGTGTGTGTGTGTGTGTGTGTGTGTGTGTGTGTGTGTGTGTGTTTCCCAGCAGTGGCCAATGCTATGCCAGACTTTCATCAATCCATGAAGGACAGCCTGCGGACCCCAGAGCAGGGCGCTGACACAGTGGTGTGGCTGTCTGTCTCTGAGGCTGCTGTCAAAAACCCCAGTGGGCGTTTCTATCAGGGTATGTTTTACAATGCAAAATTCTTTTTTCCCCTTAATATGAACACAAAAATCCAAAATAAATGATCAAGATTTCCATTTAGGAATGTAAATTGGTAAGACAGAGAGAATAGCACAGCTGAATTGTGTATTGAACAGTAGTGAGATGAATGTGCTGCATGGGGTGTGCGTATGTGTGGATTTGGCCTGTGTCCATTGCAGCTGGAGGGGACTGCTTTGGTGCCAGATACCACCAAGGAGCACTCACACACAGATGCACTTTTTCATACACACACTCACAAAATGTCCCTAGCGGCCTTGAAGAGAAAGGTTGTTGTCTGACAGCACTCTTCAAACTAGACATACATACTGCACTTATAATAATAATTTCATAATAATAAAACCAAAAGTGACAGCAACTTGCTGTAACAACTGGAAGAAAGCCATAGATGGCTCTAATTTTTTAAAATTGTAATTAATTTAATTGGATTACTGCAACTCCCTTTTAATAGGGCATGGCCAAGACACTTTGCCATGCCTGCAACTGGTGCAAAATGCTGCAGCACGGTTTTTAAATGGTAAAAGAAAATTTGAGCATATTACTCCAGTTCTGGCCTCCTTAAACTGGCTTCCAATTGAATTTAGGATCTATTTTAAAATTATTTTACAGCTTTTTTAAAAAATACTGGTCTCGCACCTGTATATTTGTCCAATCTGCTGAAGCCCTATGTCCCTCCTTATTAACTCCGGTCAGCTGAGTAGATGTTGCTCTCAGTCCCTAAATCACGGCTAAAACTTAGAGGAGCATTCTCTACTGTGGCCCTGAAGCTTTGAAATGCTCGTCCTCTTCACATTAGGCAATCTACTTCAGTGCTGGTCTTTAAATCCAGGTTAAAAACTAATTTTTATTTGCTGACTATGGCCTCAGTGGGTAACTGACACTGTGTTGTTTTTAAAGTGCTATATAAATAAGTTATGGTATGGTAACAACTGCCTGCTTGAGCTTTTGCCACCTCATATACTTTGAAATTCAGACATATCTGAGGTGTTGGTGTACGTGTTGGCGCTGCTTTTGTGGTGGCCTACAGCAGGCGTTTATTGAGTTTTCTAACTTTGTGGGGGGAGTTTTGTTGTTTTTTAAATTCACTTTTTTTTTTTAAACTTTGTTTTTAACCTTGTTTTTAACTTGTGAGTGAACAGATTGTTTCCCTGATTTGTTTCTCATGTGTTTTTTTCCAAGATGGAGATTTTCTACCCTTTGTTCAGTCTCACAAACAATTACTTACACACCCGAGGCACTCTGGATCCTCCTAACTTTATTTTTTTATGTGATTCTAACTATTGTAATCTTAAGAAATCACTGAAAAAATTATTCCAATATGTCACCTGTCCTACAAGGCATAATAAAACGCTGGATTTGTGTTACGGACCAATTAAGGGGATATATAAGTCTGTGGCTGGACCGACAGTAGGTTCTTCAGATCACAACATTGTTCAACTCCTCCCTGCTTATAGACCTGTGATTAAGAGGGACAAGTCTGGACAAAAGACAGTTCTCTTGCCCTTTGCTGGTGTTTTGATTGCACTGACTGGTCCTTGTTTCAATAGAGCTCTTGTGACTTGGATGAACTTACTGATGTGGTTTGTAGCTACATTCCTTTTTGTAAAGACTCTGTGATTTCATCTAGAGAATTTAAGAGAGAGACTTTTCCCAATAACAAACCGTGGCTCTCCAAAGACACCAAGGATCTGATTCTTAAAAGGAAAATTGCTTTTAATGAGGTTGACGTTTCCCCTGTGAGGATATTGAGGAAGGAGGTGAAGGTTGTAATAAAGAAGCCTAAGATGAGGTACAAAAATAAGATTGAGGCAGAACTCAGTAGTAATAACCTTAAGAGAGCTTGGCAGGGCTACAAACGAAGGGTAGCTGTAACATTTGCTTAGATGGGTTTACCTCCAACAAACATTTGGCAGATAGTTAGTATTTAATCTTCGTTTTGAGAATCTTGATCGTTCTATGCAAACGAGTACACTAAGAGAAAGGACTGCCATTCTCACATCATTTTGTATTGATGAGAGGGGTGTAGCTAATCTCTTTAGACACACTAAGAGTAAGAGTCATGGACCTGACAACATCTGTGGACAGGTACTGAAAACTTGTGCTGATCAGTTGAGTGTGATTTTTTTTTTTATCACATTTTTTCTCTTTCTTTAGAGTTACAGACAGTATCTAAGATTTGGAAACATGCTGTCATTGTTCCAGCTGCTAAGGGCAGTTCCCCTAAGGTACTGAATAATTTTAGACCTGTGACTCTGACTTCTTTAGTGATGAAGACCTTTGAGAAGATACTTAAGAAAGAGATTTCAATGTCAGCTGAACATCACCTTGACCCCTTCCAGTTCGCCTATAATGCAGGAAGAGGCATGGAGGATGCTGTTGTCACACTCCTGCATTTCTTGTATAAGCATCTTGAGGACCCTAACACTCATGCAAGATTATTATTTGTTGACTTCTCATTTGCATTCAACACAATTCAGCCCTCCTAACTTGGCGATAGGCTTTATAATCATTTTAAGCTTGACCATAGTCTGATCAGTTGGATCCTAGACTTTTTGACTAATAGGTCATGGATTGTGACCTATTTGACTAATAGAGATAAGGCGCAGTTGGTGGAAGCTAGATCTTACTACAGCAGACACTTGCTTATTGAGTTTGAGCGAGCTATCCAGCAGTACACCCAAGTTACTTACATAGTCACAGGAAGAGCTAGCAAAAGGACCCAGGGCAGCACAAAGTTGGACACGAGGGATTTTACTGTTGAACACCACAATCAGTCTTCTTATCGTTTAAAACGAGGGAATTACTCAGGAACCATTCTTTGACCTCCTGCACGCATTCTTGAAAGTAGTGCAGGGACACAGCAAGGTCGTCAGTAAGTTCAAAATAGATCTGTATGTCATCGGCGTAACAGTGGAAAGCGATGTTGTATTTTTGAAAGATTGTGCCTAGAGGGAGCAAATACAATGAGAAAAGAATAGGGCCTAAAACTGATCCTTGAGGTACACCGCAACAGACCGGTGCAGAGGAAGAGGAGAAGGTGCCCAAGTTAACCGAAAAGGACCTGTCAGCGAGGTATGATTTAAACCAGTCAAGGGCAGTGCCTCTAATACCCACAGTGTGCTCAAGTCTTAATAATAAGATGTTATGGTCCACCATATCAAAAGCCGAAGAGAGGTCCAATAAAACTAGGACCATAGGGCGTCCAGTATCAGTAATTACAAGAATATCATTAAGAACTCTAACCAACGCCGTTTCAGTACTATGCAATGGCTTAAAAGCAGATTGAAATTTCTCAGCAATATTGTTCGTGTCCAAGTACGCCTGGAGCTGGGAGAGAACTAGTCTCTCCAGGATCTTGGACAAGAACGAAAATCAAAAGTTTGGGACTGTAGTGGCATGGGGCAGCCTGAAGGATCTTACTGTTGACTGTAGAATATCAATGATAGCAGAACAATTAAGATTGTGATATATGTACAGTAAAATATATTTTTTCTGACATGGCTCTATTCTGGGAGCTCTCCACTCATGCATGCATGGAGAGACTAAGGTGGGAGGAGCAGCACATAAACCACAGCACAGAACATATGACCAGGAAATTATGCTTAATTTCCTGCTGTGGCTGACAGGGTGAAGGTGGGTTACAAAGTGGCTTGCAGGATTGCTGCACCTGTGGGCTGGCTAAATTGGTTTTAACGCCTTTCCCAATGTAATAGTTGCCATTTGGATGTTTAGAAGAGTATCAACTGGCACAGGCAATGAGGTTAGCTCACTGTCAATGATTGTGGCTGAGCCTGCC